ACCATATTGATACCGGGGATGCTGCTCCCATTCGGATGAATCCACATCGGTTGAGCCCAGCAGAGAGGGATCATGTACGCGGCGCGGTGGATGATATGCTAGCCGCTGACATTATCTCTCCATCCAACAGCCCGTGGGGCGCTCCGGTGGTCCTGGTAAAGAAAAAGGATGGTAATTTACGGTTTTGTGTCGATTTTCGGAAGTTAAACAAGGTGTCGGTTGCGGGCGCTTACCCCCTGCCGCGTATGGATGATTCCCTCGATGCCTTGTCTGGGGCGAAATTTTTTTCCACTCTTGACCTCTCTTTGGGCTTCTGGCAGCTCCCCCGGGACGAGTCCTCGAGGGAAAAGACGGCTTTCCGTACGCCGCAGGGTCTGTTTCAGATTAATTGTCTTCCCATTGGGTTGAACGCCGCCCTTGCTACGTTCCAGAGGTTGATGAAACTCGTGTTGACCGGTCTGCAGTGGGACACATGCTTGATATATTTGGATGATGTTATTATGTTCAGCCGTACGTTTGAGGAGCATCTTCAGAGATTCGATGCTGTTTTTGCTAGGGTGCGTTCCGCCAATTTGAAATTTAAGCCCAAGAAGTGTCACCTTTTGCTACGATCCGTGTGCTATTTGGGCCACATAGTCAGCTCTGATGGTGTGGCCACGGACCCGGAGAAAACGGCGTGTGTCCGGGACTGGCCGATTCCGGCCACGGTGGGTGACGTGCGTCATTGTCAGGTTCGCTTCCTATTATCGCAGGTTCGTTCCAAATTTTGCCACAATCGCTAGGCCGTTGCACCTTCTTACAGCAAAGAACCGGAGGTTCAGCTGGGGGCCGGCGGAGGAGGCGGCGTTTCATGGCCTACGCGATCGCTTGGCGTCAGCGCCGACGCTGGACTACCCTGATTTCACTCTGCCTTTTATTCTGGATACCGACGCTAGTGACACGGGGATTGGGGCCGTCCTATCGCAGTTTAAGGGTGGCGTCGAGCGCGTGGTGGCTTAGGGAGCCGCGTTTTATCTCCGGCGGAGACCCGCTACTGCATTACCCGCCGGAAACTGTTGGCTATAGTGCATTTTGTCCGTCAATACCGGCCGTATTTGTATGGCCGCAAATTTATTGTGCGCACGGACCACACGGCTCTACAATATTCCCTGAAAGTTGACCAACCGTCTGGCCAATTGGCGCGATGGTTGGAAACTTTGCAGGAATTTTCATTTGAGATTCAATATCGTAAGGGGTCGCGTCACGCAAACGCGGACGCGCTCTCCCGATTGCCGCAGGGATCCCCCTGCGCCTGTGCCTCTGGCACGAATAGATGCACGCGGGTTCCACAGCCCCCGCGTCCTGTCGTGTCTGCTGTGGAGATGCCCGGGGCTTCCACGTGTCCGGAACCGGCCGACGGGGTTTTGAATTTTCCACGTTCCGTGTGGATTCGAGAGCAATTGCTCGATGATTCGCTGGGGGCCTTACGGAGTCGGGCTGCAAAGGAGAAGGGATATCCGTCGTCCGATGGGACGCCGGGAGCGGCTCTCCGTGACGGCTTGTTGATGTGGAAGGCTTGCACGATCGCTGGCGTCTTGTTGTGCCATCGTCATTGCGATGAGTTGATTCGGATTCTGCACGCTGAGATGTTGTTACATCTCGGGGTGCAGAAAACGTTGTTGAAGTTACAGCGGGATTATTTTTGGCACGGCATGACGACTGATGTCATCGGGCATATTCGGGCATGCTCCGACTGTGCCCGGTGGAAGCCGCCGAAGCAACCGTATGTTCCCCCAGTGCAGTCGATACAAGTGTCGCGGGTTAACGAGTTGGTGGCGTTGGATATTCTGGGGCCCTTTCCCCCGTCCGCTCGGGGGAACAAATTTTTGTTGGTCGGGGTTGAATATCTTTCCCGCTGGCCGATGGCCTGGCCCTTGCCGGACCAGTCGGTGGCATCTATCACAGAGGCATTTCTGTTCGGATATGTGATGGACAAGGGGGCGCCGGAAAGGTTTCTTACAGACCAAGGGCAAAATTTTTCCTCCAACCTATTGCGGGATGTGTGCGACGCACTGGGGACTAAGAAGGTTCGGACGTCTCCCTACCATCCACAAACTGATGGGATGGTTGAACGGTTGAACCGGACCCTGTCGGCCATGCTCTGTCAAACGGTTAGCGAGAAGCAGGCCGATTGGAAATTGCATATCCCTGGGGTGCTCTCCGCTTACCGGATGGCGCCGCATGCGTCAACAGGGTACTCGCCCTTCTTTTTGATGTACGGCCGCGAGAATGTGCCGCCGGCGGAAGTGCAACTTGGCACGCGGGCGAGGGGTCCTGTTAAGCCCCTTCCTGAGTATATTCGTGACGCCGCTCGACGCGTGGCGGAGGCGCGGGAGGCGGCCCAATTGGCTACAGTCAGGACCCAGGCCCGGAACGAACGTTGCGCCCGGCGCTCTCATTGTGGGTCCCCCCGGCTGTCTATGGGCGAGACGCGCGCTTGATCCCTGTAAGAGCGCAGCTCGTTATGAGTGGGGCCACTGGCACATTAGAACATGTCGAGCAAAACATTTGAACTCGAAAGCTGGCGGACTTCACACGCCGCTACGGGAAAGGTGTCAGCTGTTCCTTGTGACCGTACGGATGCCATCATCATCATCGACAACATCATCGGTTTTTATTTCACCAAGTCGGAAGATGGATACGACACGATGCTGCGCAACGGTAGTAGAGAGCGTGTAAACTACGTCTCATGATGGTGCCAGGCTAGGTGCATGTGTGTGGTGGCGCAGCAGTTCGTGCACTACGCTGTGATATTTGAATCCCAGACGTGGCTAACCACCGCTCTCGATAGATGTATACAAAGACAAAGATCCCCTGTATAGTCTTCACAAACTGTTGGGGCAAGTGCTGTTAGTGAGCACCTACGAAGGCCAGCACGGCACACGAGGGGGTGGGTGGCCAACACCACTCCCGGTCACGATTGTCTCCCCAGCGGCGATGCTTACACACTGTACCAGGTGCTCATGAGGCTGAGTCGACCTAGGGGAGACCCAGGACCGGCTCAGATAATCGTCGTGAGCAGGAATCGAACTCGGGTCGCCGGCTTCGTAGCGCAGCACAGCACGCTAACAGCTACACCACCGCTCCCCACATGCACACACTCGCACAATCACACAATCTCTCTCATGCACACACGTCTACGAATACGCACATCCCCTATCCCGCACACCCCCTATCCCGCACACAAATTTGCATCCCTTTGTAACTCCACTGCTGAACGTCCAACCCCACTTCGTTTCCTTGCTGGCCACCAATGGGTGTAATGAAGAGGTGTCCAGGAGAGATTCATGATCCCTCTCCACCGATGTTACTCGTGGCCAGAAATCGAACCGGATTCAAACGCACGGACGTAACGAAACAACGTCCGTCATTCGCCACTAAGCGGCGGTAATCTCACCACCGTGCTTGTGCCAGGCTAGGTGCACCACGAAGGCCACGTGGAGTGTGGAAGGGGCTCGCTGGCAGGAGGTCGCGGGACAGACGCAGGTGCCACGGGTTGACTCGAGACGAGTGGCAAATGCTCGGCTGGCGTTTCCTCGCCAATCAAAGCCCAGCGCTCCAAAAGACGATCCCAAAGTTTCGGATCACCTTTTTTGAACCCACGAGGGTGAAGCCTGGAGATGGGGCATCGGAGACGGAATGGATAATGCAGCGTGCAGTACAGAAAGCAGGCTCAGACAGGCGAACTCCGTTGGCGAGGTTAAACACAAGCAATCAAGCACTTGCTGGGTGGCACCAGAGCTTCAGCGAGTGCCGTGAAACTCCAAACCTGCTGGGCTGCCATGTGCTCAGACGGCAGTACAGCAAGTGGGTTTGCGGGCGTGTCTGGAGGCCAATGTTTCAGCGTTGTGTTTCCTCGCAGGCGTGGTCTTCTCTGGATACAGGAATCCCTCGATGTACGAACGTTTACGAAATGTCGCGTGAACGCGATTGATAAATCGCGGACACTTTTTCGACAAACGAAATCGAAATTTTCCCCCGCGTGAAATGTCACTGCGGCCACGCGCGCCGCGAGGTCGTCAGACGAGAAGCCACCAACCCGCGAGTGGCTGCATCGTCATCATCGTCACGGTGTTCTTGCAGTGGCAGCAGCGATGTCACCACACATCGCCTCGCCGGGAATTCCAACACGCAGCAGATCTATTGGGGTTCCCCGAAAAGGTGAATTGTGTCGTTTTAAATTATTGTTCAATCGTTGTAATGTTTCTTATTCTATTCCCTGTGTTGTGCAAAGGGATATAGGTGTATACATTTAGGTTAGGAGGAGAGTTGGAATGAATGTCCGAAACACATTCAGGTCTCCAACAGAGCTTGGAGAGATCTTCCACAAAGCTCATGTTCCACCTTAAACCACGCCCATACAAACCATGGCAGTAGATACGGATACCCTGATGCACAAATGGAACATTTAAAACTGTTGTGTGCAACTGTGGTCATCCAGAACAGACCCTACAACGTTATAACGACGCAATGCCCCGATCCACAATCACGAAGGAGACATCACGGCGATGATGCACGACTCCGCTGCTCCGGCTGACGCGGTAATCTCGGCTTGACCACCCTGAATGTGAAATTGTCGTTGTTGTTCTGCGTCTACATTAGCCACACGGTCATAGCAGAAGTATAAAATTTAATTTCGGCGTTTCGTTTTTGAACACATCACTTTCGTAAATCGAGGAATACCTGTTGAGCAAAACTTCCTAAGCACGCCGACACTGTGTGGGCAGAGTTCGCATATCAAAAAGAGCCACTGCTCAACGCTAATCACAACCATTGCTCAAAGCAGTGGTGGAAATGCCACGTTGTTATGGCGAGTGCAGACTCTCCAGAGGATAACCTTCCGACGAAGTGGTACTTAATTTATCAACCCTATAAGGATGATAGGCTGCGTTATCTCCCAACTTAACTTCCAACAACAAATGGCGCAAATTAATTTGAAATAAAAACGAAACACGACAGGATTTGGGAATATTTTCTTTTATTAGAAAATAACAAAAACATGAATATCGTAAAGAATGATATGCATTTGTAAAATTAAGGAAAACTAGACGAGATGCCATCACAAACATTCGTGGGCACACATATAAACACACCCACGTGTCATCTCCCAGCTTGGCACTGCCGTGGCGAGATGTTCTCGCCCGCGCCTGGTATACAGGAGGTCGCGGGTTCGATCCCGACGCTGACACCTGCTGTATATATGGAGTTTACATGTCTCTCTCTCTCTCTCTCCCCCGTGGTCGCGTGCATTTTTCTCAGGGTTCTCCGGTTTTTCCCTCCACATTTAGAAACATGCATTAAGAGTATTTGGCTGCTGTGCATTTCCACGCGATAAGCCACTTCGTTGAGCTGTCATTTGTGGTCAGCTCAAAATGGGCCTTACCTGGTACAATAAAATAAATAGGCGTGAGGTGGTGGTAGTGGCATCAATCACCCCCATCGGTGGCCCTGAGCCAGTGGTGAAGATTCCAGTTTGCCCTCAAATCATCGTCAACATCCACGGTTGACTTCCCCCCGTACCCGAGCGCTGGGGGGTGTAGGGGGGGGTGGACAGCGCCTCACCGTCACCCCAGCGGGAGTGGCGACACGTTGGCCTGCGCTCACCTTCAACTTCACGCCGAACGTGCCATCGCCACAAGATTTGTGGCCGAATAAACCCGTCGATCGTTTTCTTTAAATCCGAGATGCATTTGGCGTCAACCGCGAATGACCGACGTAGAATCGTGGGGCCCTTGCATGCTGCCCAAGCTGCCGAAGTGATAAATTCCCTCTGAATTAATTTTAAAATGCTAAAACAAAATCGTTAAAGGGGCAACACTGAGCGACTGTGATCTACCATTACACGCAAAAGTCAAGCGCCGGAGGTGCCGATTTCCCTTGGCTATTCTCGAGCCGGGCATTGAGCAGAAAATCCCATTGCCCACGTGGATTTGCACGGGATCGTCCTTGCATGGCGTTCATTGAGACGACGGCTGGTCTGAGCTGACCCGTGACCTGCCTGCCTGCCTGCTGAGTGTGAGGGTATAGCGGCGTGCCACCACGCGAGCCAGGCAGACTTTACACGGGGAGCAAATATGGGAGCGTCGGTAACGAGCTCACGGCAATTACATGACAGCAACTCCTGTTAAAACGTCACTTTCCCTCAAACGCTCGATAAACCTCGCCTCGTGCCGATGGTGCCTTCAGAACGGTGCGCTCGTGCACACAGCCATGCGCGGCAATAAAGGTTTGGCGCGCCAAAAAATAATTAACAAAAAGGTTAAAACAATTGCACGACACAATTCTGTGGTTACATGTGTAACCCCCTCGCTTACCGCCGCCTTTTCCATTGCATAAGGCAGCCCCCACCCCCCCACCACGTGACAAAAAAATTAATAAAGGAATAAACTTAGACGTGAAATATTCGTCGTTTGCTTCTTAAAAATGCAAAAACAGTTTTCAACTAAGAGAACGAAGCTTCTTCATATAAAGAATTATTTGTGTGTAAAAATACAACAACAACAATCGGCAGCTGTGCCGTAACAAACGTCACAAACTTGGTGCCTTGGCTCGGATGTGCCGGTGGGGAAAAAGGGGCTAAAAGTTGCACCGCGTAACGTCGGCGTAGTGCAACGTCGAAAGAGAGCGACCAAGAGGTTACGTGCAAGAGAATGTCGCCGTTTTCCACCTCAGCTTCACACGACTGGCAAAAAAGAAACCCCGCTCGGGCGGAAATGCAAACGAACGGACGCGCGCGTGCGGGAGGAATGATGCCACTCGCCGTTGAGCTTCACATCCAAACCCGTGATGCCGTTGCCATGGATGCTCTTGCAGCTGTTATTAAAGGGCCTCTGCTGTTCGTGCTGTGTTGCTGTCGCGGACGTTGCCGCAGGAAATCGCCGCAGGAAATCACCGCAGCAGCGGTGCGACTCTTTACGACGCTCCCATTATTGCTCTCGCAAATCACGGCTGCTACAACCCCTCCCCGGTACAGCACCTGCGGTGTTGCAACGCAGCCGTGACAGCGGTTCCCAGTGCTGCGCTTGTCACCGTTTGCGGTCACTTCTGCGGCAGATTCTAATGTAGCGCCCGCGTCAACTGTGGTCATCATCTGCTTCAACTGTGGTCATCATCTGCAGATGAAGCTCCTGCTGCTGCCAGTGATCCTCTTGTAAAATCCTGGCTGCTGCTCATCTGGCCGCTTTCACAGCTTCTGATGCGGCCCCCTCCTGCCACAACGAATTGTTCATGCTCACGATGCCAACAGCGCTGGTGTGACCATACCTACTGACATCGTTCGTGGTATTGGTGCACCTGTTGCAACTGAAGGTTCAGCCGCTTCCACCACTTCTACCGCTGCGATCGCTACCGAAGCAGCCACTGCAGCTCCAGCCGCTGCTGCTGCCATTGTCACCACCACGAGCACTTGCTGCTAGAGTTGTCGACCTAGTCCTCGTCTCCCCCCCCCCCTCATTACCATCACCGTCACAGCCAGCGCGCGTCAACCCGCTGCCTCGCGCGGTCACTCCCGTTCCCTCTAGTCGCCGCCCGAATCCCACCCCCCACGCAACCCCCGCCCCACCCCCCCCGCGTCTCCCGCTACGACTGCACCGCCAGCTCCTGCTGTTGCTGCAGCCGCAGGCGGCGCATGGCCCGCCGGCTGCGCCACACCTTGATGTTGCGGTCGTCGCTGGCCGAGATGAGCATCTCCTGGTCGGCCGGGTTGAACGCGACGCAGTTCACCACGTCGCTGTGCGGCAGGCGGCCCAGCAGCGCGGCGTAGTGGCGCTCCCACACGTAGCCGTGGTGGTCCTCCGCCCCGCTGACAATGGCATGGCAACGTAAATGGCACGGCAACGGCGCGGCAGCACGGCGCGTGAAAGCCTCAAATATGCCGTGATGCGACACGCGTGGTGCGACACGCGTGGTGCGACACGCGTGGTGCGACACGCGTGATGTCACACGCGTGATGTCACACGCGTGATGTGACACGCGTGATGCGACACGCGTGATGTCACACGCGTGCACCAATTTGCACGTTTAACAAAGCGCACGTGGCCACACACGGAGTGCCACGTGCTCTTGAGCACACGACTTCCACAGCGACGTTCGTATGTATATACGTACGTAGAACGCGCTAGTAATTATGGGAACGGGGAGTGCATTAACCCCACCCCCGAAACCTTAAAACTCGATACACGTGGAGGAGGCTGCTGCTGGGAAAGTTCCTGTTCTGTGCTCAAGAGTTTCAAGCAATAACAACATCACCACAAGAAGCACTTAGTCTCATGTGTGTTGAACTTCTTTTGGACTGTACGTAGCCAACTGAGATAATCGAAAGTGAGGGGGAAGGACAACAAACTAAAAAAAAGACGTTCTCAAGAGATGAGTTTGTCAATCTCGACGATGATTTAAAAGTGCACAGCTCCAGTTCCTTCCGAATATCGGAAGGAAGAGCGTTCCAGACGGCCGCAGGAGCGCGTCTGAAAGCGCCGCGCGATGCGGCCACCGTCTTTGTTCGATGGTTCGCCAAAAGCCGCTGCTGCGAGGCTGAGCGGGAGAAAAAAATTAACGTTGCCGCTACTCGGCAAGAGTGCACCGCAGTGCAGCACATGGAGGAGACGCGATACTCCGTGTGTTTGGGCTCAAGGTTCAGCCGTGACATCATCGCCTTCCCTTCTTCTTAACTCGGTCACTTCCTCTTTCCCCACCCTGCCCATTTCTCTCTCCCCACCTCCCTCCCTCCCAGCCTCCCTCCCCCCCAGCTCACCTGGCGAGGAAGTCCTCGCTGCTGTTGAGGAAGATGAAGAAGCAGTTGTGCTCGGCGGTGAACGCGTGGTGTCCGCGGAAGGAGCGCCCCGTGGGCCGCAGCGTGGGCAGCTCGAGTTCGCGCGTGTCGATGTCCCGCGAGATGGCGGGCGGCTCCGTGGGCTCCGTCACCACGCAGCCCGCCGGCCACGCGCGGCAGTTCACGTACAGGAACCTGCGCAGCGGCGGGCAAGTCCAGGCACGGTCCGGGTTTCGGCCGCCCGCCGCCGAAGAACCCGCAAGGGGGGGGGGGTTATGGGGGGGGGGGGGGGGTTACAGGGCCGCCAGGAAACGTGCGTACGTTGAACTTCGTTCGCACCCAACGTGGCCAACCCGTCGCTGTAACGCTGGGCGGCACATTCGATCCGAGCGGTGGATTGACGTACAACTCTACATCGCCAACCGCGTCCGGGCTGAGACGGCACAGAGTATTTATGGCTCCTACGCCCGCAATGTTAACCAGTGCGGCCGCAGGGCTCGAACCGCGAACCTCTGCAGCCATTGACAGGCGCGCGACCACTCGGCCGCGTCAACGCTCTGAAGCCAGGTGTCGAGCCCAGGATAGTCTCAGCGCTTCCGGCACGGGCATCGGTCCGTCCCCACACAACAAAACGCCAGAACAACAGCGAGGAGCAGACTATCCCACAGCCTCTACGCACGTGTGGACGTTGAACTTCCTTCGCACCGTACGTCGCCAACCGCGCTAATCGGAGGTGCGGGGGCAGGACAACAAGCGAGACAGACTCCAGAATCGGCGCAAGAGGAGCGCGAACCCCCTTCCGACCTACGGTTCCACCGGCACCGCCGCGATGCCTCTGCTGCTCTCTGACCTGTGGTCCGGAGACAGCGCCATGCCGATGATCTGCCCGTGCAGCTCCAGCATGTGGTCGGGCGCGTGGTGTCCGTCCACCCGCTTCACGTACTCGTGCGGCTGCGTCGGGATTTGCTTGACTCCTGACCGAGGGGGGGAAGGGGGTGAATAGTCAGAGTGGCTACGGGGGGGGGGCAGAGGTGCTTCACCCGGCTCCCAACTACTCAGGGGGAAGACGCACCCCAGAAAAGGCACCGGGCTCTCACCGAACGCGTGTAGGTGGACGAATGAGCTCGCGTCTGGGCTGTGCTTTACCTATCGTGTCACGTCACGGCACGGGTCCCCCCCTATTGGCGGCCGTCCCCCGAGCGGCAATGATTTGGGGGCGATGATTGCTCTGGGGGTAATTTCGGGGCGATTCACAGCGGTGCATGCAGTATTGACCATTGCAGCAGGAATCGCATAAATGATGAAGTGACAAGGGGCAACAGCGAAAGTGCTGAATGTGATACAGCAGTGGCAGAGATACAGGGAGGATGACGCAGACGGTGAATAGTATTGAATGTGATAGTAGCAGTAGCAGGGAGACAGGGAGGATGAGATATTGACAGTGAATAGTATTGAACGTGACAGTAGCAGTAGCAGGGAGACAGGGAGGATGAGAGATTGACAGTGAATAGTATTGAACGTGACAGTAGCAGTAGCAGAAAGACAGGAAGGATGAGAGATTGACAGTGAATAGTATTGAACATGACAGTAGCAGTAGCAGAGACAGGGAGGATGAGAGATTGACAGTGAATAGGATTGAACGCGATAGTAGCAGTAGCAGAGAGACGGGAGGATGAGAGATTGACAGTGAAAAGTATTTAACGCGATAGTATCAGTAGCAGAGACAGGAAGGATGAGAGATTGACAGTGAATAGTATTGAACGTGACAGTAACAGTAGCAGGGAGACAAGAAGGATGAGAGATTGACAGTGAATAGTATTGAACGTGACAGTAGCAGTAGCAGGGAGACAGGAAGGATGAGAGATTGACAGTGAATAGTATTGAACGTGACAGTAGCAGTAGCAGAGAGACAGGGAGGATGAGAGATTGACAGTGAATAGTATTGAACGTAACAGTAGCAGTAGCAGGGAGACAGGAAGGATGAGAGATTGACAGTGAATAGTATTGAACGTAACAGTAGCGGCCGCAGAGAGACAGGGAGGATGAGAGATTGACAGTGAATAGTATTGAACGTAACAGTAGCGGCCGCAGAGAGACAGGATGGGAGCGCGGCTGCAGCAAAGTGTCCCTGAGCAGCACACCGATCTGGTGCGAGGCGTAGGTCAGGTCGCCCGTGCCGTACACCAGGAACCTCTCCCGCGGCGGCAGCCGGCGCTCGTTGCTCATGGCGTGCTGGTGCTTGCGCCTGCGCACCACCGCGGCCGCCGCCGCCGCCTTGCTGGTGTAGTGGTCGCGCCGCAGCAGCGAGCCGCCCAGCAGCCAGGACGGGCGCCCGGAGGAGGCCGAGGGGCCCTTGGCGGCGGAGGCGGCGGGGCCGCCGGACGGGGGCGGCGGCTTCGGCTGCCCCTCGCCGGGGGTGGCCACCATGAGCATGCGGGGGTAGGAACCGTTGGAGCACGCGAACTTGAAGAGCCGGTGGCCCTGCTGGTTCTGGTTCTGGGGAGCGGAGCGGAGCCACACGGGGAGAGGACCACCCTACGTTGACGGAAGAAGAACGAAAAATTTTCTCGAAATCGGAGGATTTATGTGCACAGGGACTCCTCGAGTTACGCACGAGTTAGATTGCGGAGATCTGTTCTTAAGTCGATTTGTTCGCAAGCCCAAATTTACTCCTGTCGATTCCAAACATGTTGTACGGCGTGTACACTAAACATGGGGAATGGCTTCAAAAGTTGTCTAATTTCCAGTAGACGTAGATGCCACAGGTTCTTCACGTTCTGCAGATGCCACCACCGCCATCTATTGCGTGGCGGTTGAACTTATGACTCTCGGTCCAAACAGGCAACTGGCCATACGGACAAGTTTTTTCGTATCTCTGAAAGTTCCTAAATCGAATTTTCATAAGTGGAGGAGTCTCTGTACTGGAGGACTCTGGTGAGCTATAAAGCTCGTTTTCACAGATGTCCAGTCGGAGTAGTCAGAACTTTACGACAAACAACACAAACACCATGACAGGAGTGCAAAGCAAATAACCCCAAACATTTTTTTACCTTATCTGGTAAAACCCACTGAGCTTATTTTTCAGAAGCGACCTGGTCACAAATAATCGCTCAACAAAGTGGCTTACGTGGCAATTCATAGCAGCAAAATAACTCGGTTTAGCAAGCCAGGATTGATTATGATGATGGTTCAGTCAAATTCCCCGTCCGGGATTTGAACTCGTGTCCTTGAAAGTGTATTGCACGTGTGGCAGTGAAACTCAGCTGGGCAATATTTCTGGTGCTACACCCAATGATAACTTTAAGTTAATGCTATCTTGTTGTCGTCTAGGAAGAATTATAAAATGCGATAGATTCACTTTAATTTATTGCAAGTCTTAGAAATCAACTGGTATATTTTCAGTACATTAGAGAAACCTGAAAAATCGACGAAAATCTGGAGGAAATCCATACTTGCAAGACGTGGATCCCATTTTCTTCCACATGTTTCTAGAGGTAAACAATATTCTGACTCTGAGCACCGCTTTGCGAGCTGTGGACGTGCCTGTGCGAGTGCGTGCGTGGGCCTGCCTCACCGCGTGAACGTTTCCGCCCGTGTCCACTTCGCCCGTGCCATGCACGTGCAGGCAGAACATGTCGTGGTGGTTGATGAAGCCCGACATGAAGGTGTCGCGGCCCAGCCAGCAGCCGAAGATGTCGTACGGCTCCGTGTCCACCTGCGCCAGCATCGAGAAGTCGTCTGCGGGAGAGGCGGAGTGGGCAGTTGCGAGCGGCGGCTTCTGGCCGGCCGGCGAACGAAGGCGGTGGTCACCGCATCGCGTGGCGTTTCCAGATGCGCTTCTTCGGCCGTCTGGAACGATCTTCCTTTCGATATTAGGAATCAAATCGAGATATGCACTTTCATATCTAGATCTAAAACTGCTTTCTTTACAGCTGATTTTTTGTGTTTAGTTTGTTGTCCTACCCCTACACATACGATTAGCACGGTTGACTACGTACGGTGCCAAATAAGTTCAACGTACACAAACACAGACATACAACTCCCGGACCTTCCAAACTGTGAGTCAAGTTGCCCTGACCACAGACACCGCCTGAGCGGACAGAGGGAGAGTTATCAGACGAGAAAGATGCGATGAGCTATGCATGCTCTTTTTCACAGATGTCCAGTCGGGGTGGGTCAGGACGTCACAACAACAGACAGTACGAAAACATGATAGTGGATACAAAGACACGATAGTGGATACAGAGACACGATAGTGGATACAGAGACATGATAGTGGATACAGAGACACGATAGTGGATACAGAGACACAGTAGTGGATACAGAGACACGATAGTGGATACAGAGACACAGTAGTGGATACAGAGACACGATAGTGGATACAGAGACATGATAGTGGATACAGAGACATGATAGTGGATACAGAGACACAGTAGTGGATACAGAGACACGATAGTGGATACAGAGACATGATAGTGGATACAGAGACACGATAGTGGATACAGAGACATGATAGTGGATACAGAGACACAGTAGTGGATACAGAGACACGATAGTGGATACAGAGACACGATAGTGGATACAGAGACATGATAGTGGATACAGAGACACAGTAGTGGATACAGAGACACGATTGTGGATACAGAGACATGATAGTGGATACAGAGACACGATAGTGGATACAGAGACATGATAGTGGATACAGAGACACGATAGTGGATACAGAGACACGGTAGTGGATACAGAGACATGATAGTGGATACAGAGACACAGTAGTGGATACAGAGACACGATAGTGGATACAGAGACATGATAGTGGATACAGAGACACGATAGTGGATACAGAGACACGGTAGTGGATACAGAGACATGAGAGTGGATACAGAGACACGATAGTGGATACGGAGACATGATAGTGGATACAGAGACACGATAGTGGATACAGAGACATGATAGTGGATACAGAGACATGATAGTGGATACAGAGACATGATAGTGGATACAGAGACATGATAGTGGATACAGAGACACGATAGTGGATACAAAGACACGATAGTGGATACAGAGACACGATAGTGGATACAGAGACATGATAGTGGATACAGAGACACGATAGTGGATACAAAGACACGATAGTGGATACAGAGACACGATAGTGGATACAGAGACACGATAGTGGATACAGAGACACGATAGTGGATACAGAGACATGATAGTGGATACAGAGACACGATAGTGGATACAGAGACACGGTAGTGGATACAGAGACACGGTAGTGGATACAGAGACACGATAGTGGATACAGAGACACGATAGTGGATACAGAGACACGATAGTGGATACAGAGACACGATAGTGGATACAGAGACACGGTAGTGGATACAGAGACATGATAGTGGATACAGAGACATGGTAGTGAACACAGAGACACGGTAGTGGATACAGAGACACGATAGTGGATACAGAGACATGATAGTGGATACAGAGACACGATAGTGGATACAGAGACACGATAGTGGATACAGAGACACGATAGTGGATACAGAGACACGATAGTGGATACAGAGACATGATAGTGGATACAGAGACACGGTAGTGGATACAGAGACACGATAATGGATACAGAGACACGATAGTGGATACAGAAACACGATAGTGGATACAGAGACATGGTAGTGAACACAGAGACACGGTAGTGGACACAGAGACACGATAGTGGATACAGAGACACGATAGTGGATACAGAGACACGATAGTGGATACAGAGACACGGTAGTGGATACAGAGACACGATAGTGGATACAGAGACATGATAGTGGATACAGAGACATGGTAGTGAACACAGAGACACGGTAGTGGATACAGAGACACGATAGTGGATACAGAGACACGATAGTGGATACAGAGACACGGTAGTGGATACAGAGACACGATAGTGGATACAGAGACACGATAGTGGATACAGAGACACGATAGTGGATACAGAGACACGATAGTGGATACAGAGACACGATAATGGATACAGAGCCACGGTAGTGGATACAGAGACACGATAGTGGATACAGAGACACGATAGTGGATACAGAGACACGATAGTGGATACAGAGACACGATAGTGGATACAGAGACACGATAGTGGATACAGAGACACGATAGTGGATACAGAGACACGGTAGTGGATACAGAGACACGATAATGGATACAGAGACACGGTAGTGGATACAGAGACTTGATAGTGGATACAGAAACACGATAGTGGATACAGAGACACGATAGTGGATACAGAGACACGATAGTGGATACAGAAACATGATAGTGGATACAGAGACACGGTAGTGGATACAGAGACACGATAGTGGATACAGAAACATGATAGTGGATACAGAGACACGGTAGTGGATACAGAGACACGATAGTGGATACAGAGACACGGTAGTGGATACAGAGACACGATAGTGGATACAGAGACACGGTAGTGGATACAGAGACACGATAGTGGATACAGAAACACGATAGTGGATACAGAGACACGGTAGTGGATACAGAGACACGGTAGTGGATACAGAGACACGATAGTGGATACAGAGACACGGTAGTGGATACAGAGACACGATAGTGGATACAGAGACACGATAGTGGATACAGAGACACGGTAGTGGATACAGAGACACGATAGTGGATACAGAGACACAGTAGTGGATACAGAGACACGATAGTGGATACAGAGACACAGTAGTGGATACAGAGACACGATAGTGGATACAGAGACATGATAGTGGATACAGAGACATGATAGTGGATACAGAGACACAGTAGTGGATACAGAGACACGATAGTGGATACAGAGACATGATAGTGGATACAGAGACACGATAGTGGATACAGAGACATGATAGTGGATACAGAGACACAGTAGTGGATACAGAGACACGATAGTGGATACAGAGACACGATAGTGGATACAGAGACATGATAGTGGATACAGAGACATGATAGTGGATACAGAGACACGATAGTGGATACAGAGACATGATAGTGGATACAGAGACACGATAGTGGATACAGAGACACGGTAGTGGATACAGAGACATGATAGTGGATACAGAGACACAGTAGTGGATACAGAGACACGATAGTGGATACAGAGACATGATAGTGGATACAGAGACACGATAGTGGATACAGAGACACGGTAGTGGATACAGAGACATGATAGTGGATACAGAGACACGATAGTGGATACAGAGACATGATAGTGGATACAGAGACACGATAGTGGATACAGAGACATGATAGTGGATACAGAGACATGATAGTGGATACAGAGACATGATAGTGGATACAGAGACATGATAGTGGATACAGAGACACGATAGTGGATACAGAGACACGATAGTGGATACAGAGACATGATAGTGGATACAGAGACATGATAGTGGATACAGAGACACGATAGTGGATACAGAGACACGATAGTGGATACAGAGACACGATAGTGGATACAGAGACACGATAGTGGATACAGAGACACGATAGTGGATACAGAGACACGGTAGTGGATACAGAGACACGGTAGTGGATACAGAGACACGATAGTGGATACAGAGACACGATAGTGGATACAGAGACACGATAGTGGATACAGAGACACGGTAGTGGATACAGAGACATGATAGTGGATACGGAGACATGGTAGTGAACACAGAGACACGGTAGTGGATACAGAGACACGATAGTGGATACAGAGACACGATAGTGGATACAGAGACACGATAGTGGATACAGAGACACGATAGTGGATACAGAGACACGATAGTGGATACAGAGACACGATAGTGGATACAGAGACACGATAGTGGATACAGAGACACGATAGTGGATACAGAGACACGGTAGTGGATACAGAGACACGATAATGGATACAGAGACACGATAGTGGATACAGAAACATGATAGTGGATACAGAGACATGGTAGTGAACACAGACACGGTAGTGGATACAGAGACACGATAGTGGATACAGAGACACGATAGTGGATACAGAGACACGATAGTGGATACAGAGACACGGTAGTGGATACAGAGACACGATAGTGGATACAGAGACATGGTAGTGAACACAGAGACACGGTAGTGGATACAGAGACACGATAGTGGATACAGAGACACGATAGTGGATACTGAGACACGATAGTGGATACAGAGACACGGTAGTGGATACAGAGACACGATAGTGGATACAGAGACACGATAGTGGATACAGAGACACGATAGTGGATACAGAGACACGATAGTGGATACAGAGACACGATAATGGATACAGAGCCACGGTAGTGGATACAGAGACACGATAGTGGATACAGAGACACGATAGTGGATACAGAGACACGATAGTGGATACAGAGACACGATAGTGGATACAGAGACACGATAGTGGATACAGAGACACGGTAGTGGATACAGAGACACGATAATGGATACAGAGACACGGTAGTGGATACAGAGACTTGATAGTGGATACAGAAACACGATAGTGGATACAGAGACACGATAGTGGATACAGAGACACGATAGTGGATACAGAAACATGATAGTGGATACAGAGACACGGTAGTGGATACAGAGACACGATAGTGGATACAGAGACACGGTAGTGGATACAGAGACACGATAGTGGATACAGAAACACGATAGTGGATACAGAGACACGGTAGTGGATACAGAGACACGGTAGTGGA